GTGTGTGTGTGTGTGTGCGTGTGTGCAGAACAAAAATACCTGCCATACTAAGCCCCACTTCCCACTCACTCATAAACACACAAGCCCAAAGCTGAAGGTGTGGAGCTGCAACAGATTTGTACCCCCACCCCCATTCACACACCATTTAACTGGCTGACAACACAAAAGGAGAAAAAAAGAAGAAAAGAAGCATCAGAAGGTAGAAGAAAGTTACTTTAGTCCATCATCACCTCACACAAAGTACACAAAAGCAACCTGTGGTGAATAGGGTGGAGATTAGCAGCTCAGGATGAGTTATTTCCTCAGCAAGACATGCTCTACTCTTGCCTTGGTAAGAGGTATGATAAATATTATGAGGTTGGAAAATATGACAGAAAAAGGGAGTGGGTTGCTCACATCAGAGCKCGGCAGCTGTAGTGTTGATGGGGATGCTGGAGTGGATAGAATGAACTGAGGTCACAAAGTTAAACAGATCAGTAACTTAAGCAGACAGTATGAACTGCTGCTACTGCAGGATTGGCATCATTATGATTAACTCACACAAATATTTCACTTCGTATGTTCAAATTAAAACTACTGGATACTTTTGTGCAATTTATAGTCATTTATTTATATATATATATTTTGGTTTTTTACAAAAATACAGCTTTCTCTATACAAATAAATATTTCAAGAATAAAGATGAATGATACATGTACAGTCTGCTTCACAACAGGCTCAACCTTTGTAAAAGACAATAACTTATTTTGTACAAACGTATAATTTAAACAAGGCTGATAATTCAGTACATTCATGTTCCGAGTCAGTGATGAGTTCAGAGTAATGCTTTCACCAGCAGAGGGCAGAAGTTTGTCTGTCCACACAAATGTTTTAGTCCTATTGTAATTTCAAATTAACCCTTAAGAGCGGCCAGTGCCAAAGCTATGATCCTTGGCAGGCTGCGGTAGAACGATTCGTTCTCCAGGCCAACAAGACTGTAGAAGGTCAAAGGTCGTCCTCCCACCACAGCTTTGATCCGCGCCTGGTAAAGCCCTTGATCGTTCTTTGAGCTCAGATCCACCAACACCTGAAGACCAGACAACATGGAGTTATAGAGGCACGCACAYAAAAAAGTGTTTGACATAAACCCCACCTCCTTCTTGTCTGTTGTTTACCTCCTGGAAGTTCATGCGCAGATTCTTGCTTGGGATGTTTAGAACCCAGCTGTAGGAGTTYTGGATTTGGCTGACCTGCTGTGAARCCTCTCTCAGTCCAGGRCAAACTACGGAGAAACGCAAAAAAAAAGTCTCAGTTTAGAAAATTCCTTGGAACCAAGTAGACATTGGTTATTTTATWATAAATATTTACTTTTTCCCTTGGCACCAGGAATCTGTCTTGGTTGAAGAAGGCTCCTGTATTTCCTGTGCAGACGTAAAGAATCAACATRTCCAGAGTCAGAGCCTTCTGTGTGACGAACATCATGCTGGACGACAGACGTCATCTCCTCTGATTCTGGTAAAGCTGAGGATTTTATGTCTCTTCCTTTCTCATTCTCTCCAAAAGGAAAATCCTCTGACGTGGTACTCCACTCTGTATCAGAAGAAACATCCGAGCTGAACAGGAATTTGCTCTGCAGTTCATCTTCGTCCACAGTCTCATCCTGCGTYCTTAATTTTTGAAATCCGTCCATCAGGGCTACCAGAAGGGACAAGTGCTCTTGAGGTTTTGGCAAGGAGGATACTGGACTGGTACGGTCCGGTGCTCCGGTAGAAGAAGGAAAAAACGATGGATTGATGGGAGATTCTTCCTGGAGATAGACAGGGTCTGAATGAAGAAGAGGAGGAGCTGTTCTAGAGCCCAGTTTGGAACGAAGACTTGAAATAACAGACAGATACTGTCCTGCCAGCCGCTGCACCAAAGAGTCTTGTGTCTGTTGAAGACATGTAAACAAATCAGACTGAAATAAATCTGCTTAAAGGAGACATATCATGCTTTTAAATCCTTTTTTACATTTAAATAATTCAGGTGGGGTCTATATAAAATGTAACTGCAATGCTTTGGTCTAATTGTAACTCCACAAGCCCCTCTTTCACCCCTTTTCTGAGGTGGGCTTGAGATCAACTCGTTTTGCTGCTGTCCCTTTAAATGTAAATGAGGTGGTTCATGCCCCGTCCCCAACAGCTCGCAGAGCGTTCCATTCTATCCYGTTTGGCCAATTTTTGGTTTGAATCTTGAGGAGAACGAAGACGACCAAATTGTCATTGGTAAGTCCAGACCTTGTTTATAAATTCTGTGATGTAATTATTCAGAAAACGTAATAGAGAATAGAAACAACTGAACGGGTAAAAAAATATGACACACTCAGAATATGTAGCACTGGGGGAGTGTAAATTAAAATACTCCAACTACACAACAAGATGGATTTAACAGCTAAAAAGGGAATTTTGCATGATATAGCCTCTGGTAACACAAAAAGACTCAAACGTGGGCAAAAGCAGAACACAATTAGTATTTTTATCACATTCTCTCATGAGAAAATAAACCAAACAAACCTAAACATGTAAAATAAACTTTCTATAAACCATACCTGTAAAAACAGGTTGTCCTCATTCCTTTTTGTTTTGGAGGAGATGTCTGTCGATCCAGCCTTGTGTTGTTTATCCAGATCATCAGCCATGTCTCTCAGGTAGTCCTCCCAATCATCCACTGAGGGTCCAACGTCTTGGAATAAAGCCGGTGGGAGACCTTGTTCTGCTAGAATCACAGTTCCATCTGGCTGCTCTGCAAGTAATGAAACCTCCAGTAAAATACCCGTCATCTGTGCAGTATTAAACCTCAGCAGATGTACTTTATTTACGTTGTACAGTATATATTTTTGCCTAAACAWGCAGTCATGCAATAAGATAATCAGGCATCATTGTACCTCTGCTGATCTGTGTGAGAACGTGGTTCAGATCCCGCCGCTCTCTGCCGTGAGTGAAAGCTGAACTGTAGATGTTCTCCACGAGCTGGGGGAGAGTCTGTGTGAAGAAGGTCAGGTCCACTTTGTCCCGGATGTAGTCCTCAGCCCTCTGGAGCAGGTCCAACAGGGTTTGCAGGAAGGCGCGCAACTCTGCATTGACAGGCAGATATCCCAATCTCAGAAACATCCACAACAAAATGCAACTTGGTAACAAACAAGCATCAATTCTTCTAATCCATTAAACTGGATCTTTGAAGGAGAGCACTCACGGCATTTCTTGAAGCGGGTGAAGCATTTGTCCTCGGCCATTTGGCTGCAAGAACTGTCAGACTGAGCAGGWGGACAGGTCAGGGTATAGAAGTGACAGAGAGAGTGAAACTCTGACTTCTGTTCCTCCTCYGTCATTTCAGTTGTCTTTAGGAGCTCTGGACATGTTGGCTCCCTGCTTCCTGATGACTCTGAAGAGAAGGATCGAGATTACTGATGAACATGCAATACCTCAATCAGTCCAAATCCCTTAATACAAATCACAGAAAACTTGTGGCGTGCCACAGTTCAGACTCACTCTGTATCTCAGCCTGAATCCAATCAGTGAATGCAGACACTCTTGTGTACACTCCAGGCTTGCCCTTCTCCCCACACCCATCTCCCCAGGAGGTGATGCCTTGGAGCTGGAAACGGCCGGAAAAAGGGTCCTGGTAGATCAGGGGGCCTCCAGAATCTCCCTACAGCAGATATAAAGTGGCTAAAGATGAACAAATGTCTCTTTTATGGAAAACTGGTTATGTTAAAAGATTCTGGGAGTACCTCATATCTTTTGTAGTTAGTTGAAATTGACAAAACTTTACACATACAATCTAAGAGACAGTGCTAAAAAATAATTAAATCAAATGCAGCTCTGCTCACCTGACAGGAGTCTATGCCTCCAGAGAGATAACCAGCACAAAGCATGGTGTTGGTGACCAGGTCTTTGCCAAGAGTGCTCTTACAGGTGCTCTGAGGCAGCAGGGGAACCTTCGCCTCCATCACCACGTCAGCAGAAGGTCCGTCTGCAGAGAAAAAACATCTTCAGAGGCTCATTCAGACGCATTAATACAAGATATGTAAGAAATGGACAACGATGCACGTTAATCAGCAGCTTCAAGAGGAAGCACGCTGTTGTAGATTAGTTAAATTGGCCCAAAAATAATAATATACTCACCTTCATATAGGGACCCCCATCCTGCCACCAAACATGGACTTCCTGTAGGGGGGTCTGTGTCAGAAGGGAGGCACACCGGGGTGACATGTTGTGACAGGACCGCCGGGGACGTCAGCTCCACCAATGCTATGTCATTGTTAAATGTTTTGGGGTTGAACTGCAGGTAATAGAAAGAGTTGTTGCTTCACTTGATAATAACTGAATGAATTTTGGGGTTTCTTTCTAGTTGGAGCAAATGAATATGAAATTGGCAAAAAGAAGTTAGGAAATCAGTGTTTGGTTGATTATTTCTTTATTGTAACTGCTTTTTGCCAATAAGTCTTATACCATTGGAAAGCCTGTTCATTTCTGTTTTAAATGGTGCCACATTTGTAAGGAACATGCATTTGTGGAATGAGCAGTAGTGCTGAGTATGTGGCACATGAAAGATTTGCCAACTCTTCTCTACCAAACAGCTTATTTGCTGTTATTGACACTTGTTTTGAGCGTCTGGTACACCCAGGTGCCAAGAAGCTTTGTTGCAACAAAGAAATAATCTACCAAACACAAATTTCCTTACTTTTGTGCTAAGTGTATATATATGTACGTACCTTAGGATGGGGGATAATGCGGTTCACTTTGAGAACCTGCTCGTTCGGATCAGCTTTGGTGATGTCAAACTCGCCCACAACTGCAGTCCAGTAGCTCTCACCACGACCCCTACATGGAAAATATGTGTGAATTAGAGTGAAGGAGTGAGAATAAGCAACAGCTTTTATACAGATCCAACTCACTGGTTTGGGACGCTTACCCAGCAAAGCAATGTGCAGCAGTGGCCACCCAGGAGCTATCCACTAGGACCCCTCCACACATCAGCCCACCATCCAGCTGCAGGTTCACCAACCAGGGCCAGCTGCCTGGAGGAGCAGGGAAGCCCCCCACAATCCTGGAGCGGGGCTGTGTGATGTTTCGCACAGTGGCTGACCTCTGACCACACACTGCTGCTGAGACAGGGAGACACTTGTGGTTAACAACAAGCAGAACAAAGCACATTATCCCGAGGCAAGAACAGCTAGATCCCCTCACCTTGTGCATGGGTCTGTATGGAAGGCTCCAGGTTCTGCATTGTGTTCAGCAGACTGCACTGGAGGACTCGAGCGCTGCAGCTCTCGCCCATGATCCTGATGCAGCTTTCAGAGTCCAGTTCAGCAGGCGGGCAGCGGTGCTGRTAGTACGCACAGGCCTGACTCAGAGCCCAGCTCCGCTCCGCCTCATCTTGGATCTTCTGAGCCTTGGAGATCCCGTCACAGGCGGGCTCTGATAGGGCACTGGACGGAGACGCTGTTGGACATGAAAGCAAGATCTGGGTGTCAGAAACATACAAGTAAAAGGGATCAGCGGTGATGGAACGTTGAAGGAGGATTGCATTTACAACAGGATGCTGACAATTGTCCACAGTTCTGAAACAGGCARGGGGTACAACCACGACAACCCGCCTCAGCCTGGCTTCTTTCAGACGACGCACGCTCAAGGGCGGACAGCGCGCTGGCCATGGCTGCTTCCAGAACAACCGTGCCCCGGTCAGACAGAGCTGCGGGAAAGAACAGAGAGAAAGTTGTTTTAAAGATCAAAGTAACAATCACGCAGGTTCACTAAACTTTGAGGGAATTGTTTTATTTTGAAAGGAACATTGTGTGTGTGTGTTCACATGAACCAGTGTGTGTGAGTAGACCCTCTTCTCTCATGCTGCTTTTTGAGCTCATTGGCAGCGTTTGTGGGAGCTCACGCTCAGTGTGATGGTGAGTCTTTTACAGACACACTTCAATCATGCCGCCGGCCTTGCAGCCCCCACTCTCCTCCGTGCTGCACCACATCACAGGATGGGCCAGTAACGACAACAATACTGATTGAAGATTTAATTAGAAGGACAGGGCYGAGCAGGCAGAGGGGCTGGTGGGTTAGAAACCGAGTATGAGAACTGGCTGGAAACTCTGCTGAGACAAACTTACACTGCAGCTTTATTTTTTTCTTTTTGAACAAATCTCATGGAGAAAAGTGTTAGGAAGTCATTCTTTTTTATGTGTTGCAATGTTATCATTTTTAAGGGTTTCATACCATACCACCTGATTGTTTTCAATTTAAAAAAWTGGATCCAGCTTAAATAACATACAGTAAAATCTCTATAATTGTAGGAACAGAGCATGTTGGCACATGTGACACTAAAATRAGTTGATGTTTGAAATGTTACAGCAGTAATAACATTAATTTAAATATTACTTGCTGCTGAAAATGATTTTACTGTAGATGTAAATTAGACTCACATAGTGTATACCTTATTTGCATTATGACCGCTCTCATTAGTGAAATACCAAACTGTGCAAAAGTCTTAAATCAGCCCTTATATTAATTTCCTGCCCCTCAAAGAACCATTTTTTTTGTCTTTTAAAGTGGTTTTAAACAATTTTTCTTAAAGCTTTCTGAAGGTGTTTTTAAGTTTTTCTTTGTTTTTTTAACTGAAGAATTAATTCCTGGTAATTTTAAGCAGAAATATTTTCTGYCATTTCTACAGACACTTAACTCTGATTTGTGAATCAGTCAGGCATGAAAACAAACATTAACTAAATGRATGGACTGGTGTCTCAATACAAAACATACTACTTACTATAGAAGTATTTTAAAATTGATATGTAGGGTATTTTGGTTGTATTAGTCTGTCACCAAAACACAATTTGAACACTTGACAAACAGTTGAGGATTAACTAAAGGGTAATAAATCACTCTTGGACTGGATTTCATTCAACTTTTTTTTAGTGATTTGACTTTTAGATTCATTTGATGTGTTTAGTTTTACTTTTTTAGGTATTTGAAAATTTGACACTTTTGGTTTTGCTCTCTACTGGTCCACTTTCCTGGTATTGTAAAGTCTAAATGCTACACAATGATGGTCACAGAAAAAAATACATAAGTCTGGCTTCTTATGGAAACACGAGAGGTGGTTTACGACTTCTGCACAGCACTGAATGAATGAATGAATGAATGAATGAATGAATGAATGAATGAATGAATGAATGAATGAATGAATGAATGAATGAATGAATGAATGAATGAAAAGTTAACACAAGTTTAGAGAATGTACCTTTGAGGGCGCTCTGGGGCATCCTGTAGACCTCTCTACCTGTTGGGGCTCCCAGAAAACAGTCCAGCTCTATGAGCAGCAGTGATGTCAAAAGCARCAGCATGATGTCAGAACATCAGACCCCCCCTACCCCACCGGGCCCACTCCACAGGCAGACAGACAGGATGGAGATTGATGAGAAYGCAGAGAAGAGTTGTAAAAGTTTCTGTCTGTGTCCTTATTGTGCGCTAGCTGTCTCCCTCCTCCTGACACTTTGGGCTCTCTTGGTGCAGAGCATCTGTCTGTAAGGTGCTCGGAGGAACAATGGACGCCTGAAGTGGCTCCTGGTATTTATAGAGCCCCCAAGGGAACACCAGAAAAAGGGAGGGGGGTGGGAGAGATGCTCCCGTGGCCAATACACAAACAGATGAATTCATTAAGTCTGTGACAGCAAATCGGGCGCAACTTGCCAAGGCTGGACATCACAAAGAGGTTTGGTTCTGTGAAAGGAGACGGGGGGAGCTGCAGGGAAACAGATAGGGGGGTGGGGGTGAGCAGAGGGATTGGTTAGGCGGCAGGGAAGGGGGTGTTTGAATGATTTATGAGAGAAAGAAGGAGAAAGTTCTGCAGATACGGATGTCCTCTGATGTGAC